GCGCCACAGCCAACCGGGGGGGAACCGGCCCGGTCGACCGGCCGGTAGGACCGGTCCGGTTCCGGTTGGGGGAGGACCCCCCGGTCCTACCGGGTTTTCAGCACTGTAAGATAGTACAATTCTATTTTTTTCATCGCCATCATTTCTATCATACGCATTTTCCTTCATTCATATGAACCAATCAATGCCATGATGTATTTCAGGGACGCTGGACCCGGTTTCCAGCAGGTGTTGCTCCCCACCAATAGATGGAGCTCGTCTTTCAAAAAAAAAAAAAAGTTCCAGTCTTGAACATTAAAACAAACAAAAAGGAAGTACCTTGGGAAGACGTACTGTCGAGCATACGCAATGTACTTCTGAAGCAATCTTGGTGGTGCGGGCTCAAAGTTTGAATTTCCCAAAGGCTCCAGTCGAAGTCGCTTCGCAATTGAGCTTGCATAATCAATCGCCATTTCTGCATCCAGATGATGAGGCCTCTTGGGCTGCACATCTGATCAAACACACACACACACACACACACACACACACACGCAGAAACAGGGGAAGAAAACAGGAAGAAGAAGAAACGAAGAAATAAGGGCACAAAGGCAATCCGGGGGAACCTGCAGGAAAAGCACAGCAGGTAAGTCCCCCGACTCGAACCCATGATCGCATTTTCCTTTTTCTCGCCACTTTTTTTCTTCTTGTCCCTTTTCCCCTTCCCTCTCCTTTTTTCTTTTTTCTTTCTTTTTTTCTTTTTCTCCCCCTCCCCCCTTTTTTCTTTCATGTCTCCTTTTTCCTCCACATTTTTTCTCGGTCTATTCTTACCGCTCTCCTCCCTCTTGGCGTTTTCCTTTCCTCTTCGTCTCTTTTTTCTTTTCTTCTTTCTTTCTTTCTTTCTTTTTTTCTTTTTTCTTTTTTCTTCTTTTTTCTCTCTTTTTTTCTCTTTTTTTCTTCTTTTTTCTTTTTTCCTTTTTCTCTTTTTTTTCCTCTCTTTTTTTCTCTTTTTTTTTCTTTTTTTTTCTTTTTTCTTTTTTCTTTTTTCTTATTTTTTTTTTCCTTCTTTTCTTTTTACGCTTCCTGCTTTTGGAGGAACTTCAGGCGGAAGCTGGGAAAGCCCAATAACGACAAGGCAGAAAGCAGCCAAGAGCGAATCAAACCCTTGAAAGCAACGCGCACGGGAAAGAAAGCCAAGGGGACGCACGAAGTGTACAAATAGATCTTCGATGAACGAATAAAACCAAACAACTGTTAATAATACGAGCATCGGAAATTGTCGAATGAATGCGTCAATCGAAGTCCCCCAGTTGCTTCCAGAAAGAAGCCACACCAAGTGGGTCATAACCCAGAAAGCGCGCGAAGCAAATTTCGAATTTCCCACCTCGGGAAATAACGAGATGGGGAGAGAACCTCGCACAGATAAAAGGAAGGAACAATAGAAGTTAGGAATCAGCAGAGTAAAGCGGACATACCAGTGAGTGCAGTGCAGTGCACGGATTTGCGGAGAGCTACGTGCGGGAGAAGCAAGCCGGAGCAGCTCAGTGTTTCGACGCGATGGATGTCGAAATCGACCTCAACCAGCTGAAGGAGCAAGGGGACAGCGAGGAAGTGGTATAATTTTTTCCTTCAATTCTTACTGAGCTCAGAATCGCACGGGACGCGTAGCATGGCGAGTTACCCTGCAATGAATACTTGCATAACTGCAACATCCGCGCAAGCACCGCTCTCGCTGCTCATTTGCTTCTATCTAGTTGCAGTCTTTCTGCTAGCGCTTATCCCGAATATCGTCATAGCAGCAGCAGCAGTGTGGCTTAGCAAGGAAGAATCAATCTGGCTGCAGCCGGCCAGGGTTTCATGCGGGATCGCGACGTTCGCAATCCTCTTCGCTGCACTAACGCTTTCACTCGCACTTTGCTGCATTGCCGCCGGAACTGGGATAGCAGTAGCAGCGATACTAGGACTATGAAGGAGGATGATAAAAAAGGAGTGATGGAATGGGCAACCTGCAGCTTTCTCGCCTTCTTAGCTTTTTTGGCACTATTGGCGTGCTTCTGTTCATCCTGGCACTGCCGATCCCCACGCACAACACCACCCCCCCACCCGTCCCCCCATGTTCTCCTGCAACCGCAGTCCCCCAATCGTCAGCCTCCCATGATCCCTCATTCCCTCCTCTTTGCTCCCCCCCCCCCTCCTCTCCCCATCTCGCCTCTCCTTCCAAAGATCATGGAAGACACTCCCTCTGATGACGCTCTGTGTGGTCGGAGAAGAAAAGCGCTTTAGGGATAGCCACTCCCTTCCCGCGGATCGGTCAGTTGAGTCCAGCGTGCCCTCGGGTGTCGAAATGGAGTATCTGGAGGTGTATGACCTGATACGGGATAAGTCTTTTCTCCCCCCTCTCTTCCCCCGTTCTAAGCACCCCCTTCATCTTTCTTTTCTCCCTCCGTAAAAAGCTAACCCTCTCTCATTCTTGCGGGTGGTGGCAGTCGTGGTAATTTTTGTACTAGAAGTGGATCGATCGAAGATTAAGGAGAGTGACGAGAAACATTGCTTTGATACACTTTGCAGTAAATGTGCCGAATGAGTTTGTTGTTTCTGTTTATATTTTTATATTTTATTTATATATATATATATATATATATATATATTTTTTTTTTTTTTTTTCGTTTTTGAAACAGCATTCGTAATTCCGCATGCATGCCTCTGGCACTTCTCTTTTTCGCATAATTCGGTAGCTATTGTTTTTTCCCCTGAAATTAGCAGCGCATCGGGATTCGGGAATTCCTGAGCAATCTGTTTCGCTCAATCTGAAAGGAAAGGAAAGACAGCTCGGTAGGATGCATGGTTGATCTGTAATTTTACATAGGATCTGGTCCAAGCGTGATCATTAGGAAACACGTCCATGTACTACTGTTGTATGAGAATGGAGTCACGGGTCACAATGAATATACTGGTTGATTCTGATTCTGTTTTCCCGCATGAAAACCTCGAATATCCTTTTTTCATATAACTCCTTGCGATTCAGAGGCTATCCCCCCTAAAATTGGCAGCGCATCGGGATACGTCAATCTCTGAGCAAATTCCATCGCTCGAAGTTTACGCACCCCGAGTTGCGGATAATTTGAATAATAGATTCAGTCGGTTGCATGGTTAATTCGCAACGTTGCTCAGTAGGATTAATCTGATATGGATGCGATCATCAATAAATGTGTCGAAGTGAGCAGTGAACCAGGATAAGTTAATCACTTGTACTTCCCTGCGAATTGAGGATTTTCAGCACATCGGGATACGTGAATTTCTGCGCAAATTTTCATCGCTCGAAATTAACGCACCCCGATTTACGAGTAATCCGAGAAGTGGCTCAGTTGGTTGCATGATTAATCTATAATGTGCTCATTAGGATAGATCTGATGCAGGAACGTTCATTTGTGAACATGTCGGAATGGATATAGAACCAGGGTAAGTAAATCACCAGTAACATCTATTTCCCTGCGATTCGGAGGTTATCCCCCCTAAAATTAGCAACGCATCGGGATACGTCAATTTCTGAGCAATCTTCATCACTCGAAGTTGACGCACCCCGATTTGCGAATAATCCAAAAAGTAGCTAAGTCGGTTGCATGGTTAATTTGTAATGATGATCATTACTGATACGGGTGCGTTCATCAGTAAATATGTCGGAACCAGGATAAGTAAATAATATGTACCACTCATATTTATGCACCCCGAGCCTGGAATGATGCATCATTAAAGTATATAGGCAGTCGCCTTGTGTTTTGCTTCCGGTAGGATCCAGTCTTCGATTGAAACGGTATCCGGAGCTCGCATAAAGGCATCCTCTATATGGCCACTAATGAAGATGTAACCATATAAATCGATACCACTGCATATTTGACTAGCAACACAACAGGATGTAAAAACAGCTAAGCAATTCTCGTACCGAAGGATTTATAGAATATATGATCAACCATAATGTCTGTCGGTTTTAGTTTGCATTACTACGAAAATCATGTGAGGTGGTAATCCTTCGGAATTAATCCTCGTTTTGAAACGAAATGTTGTAGATCACTAATTGGCTCAACAGGAAATAATCAACGAATGACCTTCATCATCTGCGATCACAAACCACGACGCATTACTATGACTTGCATCGCTCGTGACTTCACTTCCACAGGCAAAACGATAAATCCCAAAGTTAGGAATAATAGAAGCAATAAGATACTTGTCCGACACTATGAAATAGAAACTGAGTTTGTCTCCAGGTCATAATAAACCTATCTAGCAGCAACCCAAGCATCTTCATCAAAGAATGAACCCTCTGAGCTATTCGCAAACTAGGACAAACAAATCACCAATGTTCTCTATGTACCCCGATCGACTGAGAATCGTGGATAAAAAACAAAGCATCAATGGATGACATGGCCCGCCAATATGAATTCATGAGCTATGAATAACCTTAGAAAAATCTCATCAAAATTACAATTATAATCTAGATCTAGGAAGTGGGTAATTAAGGAACAAAAAAAAAAACCGCCGCGAATCCTAAGGGTCCGACGATTGCATGCTGGGATTAATACCTCTACGGCTGAGCAGTAAGCCTGCAAATATCATCCTATTAGGATCACTGGAAACATGTTCGGTCAAGTTGCCTATTTACGCTGCTCCTGCCCTAATGGCTTAATCACCTGAGATCTGCCAACGATGTATGTTGGAGCCCATATGGTATGTGGTACATACCATCAAGTGCCTTGGCACACACTACAAAACACACACATGCAAAATCAGGGAACAGGAACAAAAACCAGCACAAACCAAGGACAGGCGATTGGAAGGAAAACCACGTAAAAGTAAACAGAAAGGCAAAAGGGATAAGGAAAAAAGGAAGGCTTGAACTCGGGCTGGGAAAATGGAACGGAAGAGGCTTGAACACAGACAACAAAAAGAACCACGGAAGAGGAGGATTTGAACTAAGGGCTGATGAATATAGAGATTCACTGGGCATGCAGAAATAAGAAAGACGGATTCGAACACAGGACGGATCAAACAGTAAATAAGGGGAGTATCGCGAAGCTACGATGACCAACGTAGATTAAAGGTACAAGTCGGGATTAAATCCGATTCGAACCCACTGGCGACAGCACACACACCCCAAAAAAGTAACTGAAAACCAGACCTGGACCAAATTGCGAACCCACCGAAAAGAATACGGCAAAATCAAAAATACATAAGGAATATGTAAGCCTTGTTCGTAGAGACATCCCCAGGATCAAACAGGGAACCTCTGGAATAGCTCAGGAACATATCGGAAAGACAATTGGGTCTCTTCCAGACCAAGGGAAAGATTGGTATTCCAGTCCATATAATGGCATATATTTTATTAGAGTCTACCCCCCTACTATCATATAGACTAAATGTTACATGCCCAGTTGGGCGATGTACATATAAACCAAGGATCCGCAATGTGATGAAAAGGACTGAATGGACAATGCAGTGCAAGTGAAATCTCAACAAGCGGTGTACATCCTGATACATACAAAATGGTGCTTGATAGCGCAGGGAAGACTTTAGATACAAGTCCTGACCTGACCGGGACTGACCTCTTTTACGTAGTACAAGATAGCGAAGCAAAAGGCTAGAATACTAATGACGAGCCCAATCAATGTTGCAATGCAAACTAAACATACATCACTTTCACCACCAGGTGTGAAGGGGCCTGGCGCTATACACAGGAAGAGGCGCCAGGTCCAGCCATGCACAGGCGAAGAGGAGGGGATCAGACGAAGAGGAGGGGAGAGATGGGAAAGTCGTCAACACCAAGTCTCGTTACAA